GTAGTACAAACCATAGGAAAATTTTGAATGTACTCAGAAAGCTCCATCACTCAGGAAATTGAATAGCCATGAGCACTGTTTCTAGGTAAATCTTATTTAATGTTTCCCTAATTAGAATCAATAGAACCCAATTTTCATTCCTGTGCCTTTGTTATGCACAAACTATCAGTCAGGGTCCAGAAAATCTCCCAGGCTACTTCCACACAAAACCGATTCAACTGTTTCAAGTCTTGACACTTATCTGACAGGATTTGAAAATTGAGTTTTATAAACGTTTGTTACAAAAATGTTTGTAATTGGACAAGCTAAGGAAAATGGAGGCACTTAGATAATGAGTAATGATTTGTAAGGAGGTTAGTTTATCTCAGACAAATGGAGCTTACAGAAATCGGTGTAGTTATCGTCTTAAAGGTAATGTAATGCACTACTTTGCAGTAATCTTGGGTTTACATAGAGATTCTTGTGTTTCAGTACAACAGCGTTAACCTCTGCTCATATTAAAGGGCTAGGGGCTTTGGGGTTGGATTTTTCTTTTTTTTCCCCTGTTTGGTCTTGGCTTTTTTTGCATGCTAGGCTATCAACATTTCTACTCCATGACAATATCAAGTAAATGAAAAACTGACAATCTGTGCACCCAGGAAAACTAAACCTCTAATGAAATTAAGTATTAGAGTTTATTAAATTTTATTGTATTATCAGAAAGTTTTTATTATAATGTGCAAAATCTGCTTAGTGCAGCCCTAGATTGTATTTACAGAACGGTGGGACAGCTTATGGAGGCTGAGTAGAAGATGCCAGATTGGACAATTGAAGGAATATAATCAGCATAATGTTTTTTGGAAAGGCAAAAGGAAACTATGCCATATGTTCACTTAAGCCTTAATTTTATGTAAAACTGGCTGTTTTTTCTTTGACACAGCTAAAATGCCCTTTCACTTACAGTTCAAAGACTGTTTATTTGCTCTCCAGATCCCCATATGCTCAAACGTATTGTACACAGCACTGTCCCCTACTGGGGAACGCGAATGGAAATAAATTTCATTTTCTGTACAGGCAGTATTTTCAAGAGCCTAAAACTGACACGTGTGTTGTCAGAGGAATAGGGGCAGAGGAAACAGGAGACAAGGAGGAGTTTGCCCTCCTTATTTCTCTCGCTTACTTCTCTATTTTAGGAGCAAATTAACCTTCTCGGCAGGAGCAACTGGACACATGCATTCTCATTTGAATTCGGAAGAGTTTACAACACTTGATACAGCGTGTGCGCCTTTGCAGGGTAATACACTAGCCTCTAGCACTACAGCTATAATGCTATTAAATTTACTTCATGGAATTAGTACAGTCGCTGCTTGAGTTTATATAAGCTGCAAAGCAAAACCCCTAACTATTTTTAGTTAATCGCAAAGAGGATGGAACTTGTATTTTAGCAATGAGATGATCAGCTCACTCTCTCTCTCTCTCTCATATTCAGCCTGGCAAGATACAATCAAGGACATTATTAAAACGTAAAAAAACAAAGCAAAAATATCCATAAAGGTACTAGAGCCCAAACTACCAATCTATGCTTGCTATTAGTGTGGCATATTGCTGTTTTAATCTAATGCTAGGTAGTGTATTAATCTATAGGTATAAATTAATGAGGCTCTTAATGTATTTTCATTGGGAGGTTGAGCAGTCAAACTCATTTAGTTAGTGAAAACTACAAAAATCACTTTCTTGTGAAATCTGAAACTAGAAGCTTCAATGAACTAATGATCACAGTATGAACCATTTTATGTACCACTGAAAATAAAGATAACCTGTAAATGTAAAATTTGCACTGCATAAACCATGCTTTTATACACTTCCACCTGTAAAATATTCTTTGTTCAACTCCACTTGAGAAAGATGAGCATACTTAAAGCAAAATATGTTAACAGCTAAATGGATATAGTGTTCATGGTAATATCTTCTGACCAAATCCCTGTCCCAGTCAGAAGCATGGCAAAAAGGGCTAGGAGTCAATATCTTGTATTCAAAGAGAAATTTTATATATCTGGTGTACTCACATGGCTTTTTTGCTGGCTGAACTAGCTGAGGGTTCAGGTATGGGCTATTCTCTGCATCTATTCTGCGCTTGTACTTCTGGCGACCTCCACGTACTCTGTCTAGGCGGACACCTACATTGGGAAAAATAAGTAAACATGTCATTAAATTTATTATGAAGATGTCTCTCGGGTAACAATCTCCTATCTCCTGCCTTCCAATATTTATTCAAAATACATGTTTATTTCAAAAGATTAATTTTAGAAACCAGGGGAAAGCAGCACTGCAAGTATTTGCAAGCTGTTTAGACTTTCACACATGCAAGACTAAATATACAACATAATTTCCTGTTCGTTTAAAACCATTTGTTCATTTTTACATATTATTAAAAACAGCTAACAAGTTTAGTTTCTATTTGAAAGACTCTGATCTTAAGTCGTCTTTGCCAGAAGCATAAGTTCAAAGCTGTAATAAACACCATGGATATACAAGGCTAACATTATGAGTAGAGAAGGACACAGAATTAGAACTTCAGAAACAATGGGTGTTGTACACAGTTTAGATAGTCAAAACCAGTGCTTTTATTTAACATGGATTAATGTCATCAGAGGATACAAAGTAAGTACTTTAGTAAAATAAGAACATACATGGCGCTTAAAGACCCGAAAAGGTTCCTGAGGGTTTAAAAGAAATCGCATGGGTGTTCATTTAGATGTCATCAGTGATGAACTAACATTTCTGTTCTATCTCCAAATTGTTCATTGCTTCAGTAAAGCATTCTGCTAACTGTTTTGTATGGATATACAGCAGTTTACCTTCCTGAAACAAGCTACGGCTGCTCTCATAGACAAAGTGAAAAAAGGAGGGGGGGGGAAAGATGGTAGGTCCTACAAAAAAATGAAATGTTTTTATTTCCTTCTGAGTCACCTGGGCAGATTTCCAGACAACCAGGACGAATGTCCTTATAACCGAGCAGTAACATAACACTGAAGTTTCAAAACTCAGCACATTCACAGGGCAACAGGGCAAGTAATACCAAGTGCAAAATTTGTCCCTGATGACATGGATTTAACTAGACAAGAATGCAAGGACACACTACGTATCAATGATCCCTGTGAGCGATGTAATAAAGTGCATCTCACTTTCTCACTTTTCATTGTCTATTTTAGCTCTCCTCCCTCTATTTATCTTTTCTATTGCAGTTACTGTGCCCTACTCTACTACTTCCCATCTCCCTGCTCTCTCCCTCGCAGGAAATACCTCCAGAAATGGCTTCTGGACTGCAGAGAAGCCACCAACAAAGAAGTTACAGTTTATGTGCACAGAAAGAAAAAGACAGCACATAGTCTATGTGCTGCACATCAACCTGCATGGGAAGTACAGTCTCGTTACCAGGAAACATCTGTCAGCCCTCTTTTATCCTCAAAAACTAAAGAGGATTGACTGGGTTTTGAAGAAAAGCCATTTTGCCAAACAGCCAGAAATCCAAGGCCAACTCTTGCAGGTTTGTTTTTGTTTCTTCTTCTTTTATATTTCTTGCTCTTTTTCTTTTCCTATTCTATCTGCTACTCTCTGAGCTGGCATGAAACTAACACACCAGAACACTCACTAGCTGACCAAAGGACGGTTCTCAGTCACCCAGACGGACTGTTGGTATCTACAGAGGTCAGCAACACAGGAGATACTTGGCTTAAGGCCACAAGCAGTGTCTGTAACTATAATGCAGTGAATTGTACACAACAGTGCTCAATATTTGCTCACCAGAAAACTGGGTAGTGATCACCTGTATTTAAAGCTGAATTCTGTTTGGTTTACTGCAGAAGACTCTGTATTTCACTTCCTCAAACTCAAGAAGTATATTTCTCACTGCATGTTACCAATTATATTTTTTTAATCACATTATATAAATAATAAAACCAATCAACCACATACCCAAACAGGTCAGTGTAAAATTATAAATGAAATCTTATGTATGGTATTTACCTATTTCACTACCAAACTTGTGACTTATTTGTGGTCTAAGCTATCTTATAAAGTTCATGGTGATTCCATCAAGAAAGTATGGTTATTTTTTGTTTGTTTTTAAAGTTATACTTAATATGCATGAACTACAACAACACTTCAAAAATTGATAGTCAAAAGGTTTTCAGAGCTAATGATAACTCACGTGTTCCCCATCCTTGAACTGGGAGTTTGAGCTACACCTGAAGCAAATGACATCTAGGATAATACACTGCCATAAAAAAAAAAATAGCAGAAGACCATGCTTTGACAGTTGAATATTCAGAAATAGGCAGAGGATTAGAACAAGCTACATGCGATATTGGTGGGATTATGAAAAAGACTGCCCAGCATTTGAAGAAAAATAGATAGGAAATGATTTCTGCATAATTCAGATGCCATCCTTCTTTCTGCTTGGGAGCAGATTTCATAGTGATAAAAGATAGATAGCATCAGATAGAATTATGTTTAATCAAAAAGTAATGGAACTGAAGTTTAAATTAAAATAATATAAATCTACCAAGATGAACATTTTTTTTACCTCCTTTGCATATGCCAAGATACACATTCAAGCCATTCACATACTCAATGGAAGTAAATACAGGTGAATGTCACAATAGCAGAATTACACATAGATCTATGTACTCACCTATTTTACATAGCTATAACTATAAACATAGCTACTTTCTTTTTTAAAAAGAAAAAAATAATTTTAAATAACTGAGGAATAACAGTATTACACACATTAAAATTACTTAAATCTGTAATAGAACTAATTCCAATTCTAACGTGAATTTTATACCATAATACCAACAGAATATAAATTAGAGGTTTACAGCACTTTCATTAAAACTGATACAGAGTTTACCATCATTTTAACTCCTAAGCTTTCCTGGATCCTAGCACCATTACAAAGTAGCTATCTTTGAATCAATTTCTGATAATCGAACGCACCCTAAGTGGTATTTTACTTCTCAGGAGTCTTCACAGAAGTACACGGAATGCAAGACACCACTTAAGTAAGTATACTCATCTGATATTCCATAAAAACTTGTTGGAGTTTGGTGGGTAGCAAACTGAAATCCAGACATTCCTGTATGTATTTTCCCCTGCAACTGCTATAACTTGTATGAGAGAATTCATTACATAAAGATGTATTTATCTGCTCTCAAGACAGTAACAGCTGATGCCGCCTTTGTTGGAAAAAGAAAGGGAAGAAAGAAAACCAATTTAGTCCACAAAGATCTTCATTTGGGGTGGGAGGGGCTTAACATCTTGATCACAGAGGTAATTGCTATCATTTAACACATACTCTGTACTGAGGCTATGAAAGACGGTATTGCGGCATCTAGCTAGCATACAGGGAGAAGTTAAGTAGACCTCTGCTTTAACTCTGCTGGGCATGTGGCTTGCCAGAGTCTTCAACAATTCCATTCACTCACCCTTTCAGTCCTCAACCATAAAGTGAAAAGAAAGATATCCACCCCATCCACATAAACTCATGGCACATCTACAAATGAATCGCACTGTACGAATTATTATGACAGTTTTTTAGGGTCAAAACTTCCATTAACATCACTGAACAAAGCTCCACTGAAGACAAGCAAGTTGATTCTCTTCATACTCCAACATTGAGTTTCACTTTCAAATTCTTCAACAGAAAAACAAAAACAAAAGCCCTAATGAGAAAACAGGGATGACCACATGGTGTCTCATTGAGGTACAAACAGAAATAACAGGCCTGCTATCAGTTACGGTACGATTTCAACAGTCAAGTGCAACACATCTACTTTACACCTTAGGACAAGTACAACTCACGAGCTCATCTGTTCAGGAGTGATGGGTAGCCACATATTGTGACATAATTTACAAAGCTCAGAAGTTAAGGATTAGACTAGAACTGTAAAATATGGAGAGATGGAAACTACATAAATCAATACAATAGCTACTTCTTTAAAAGAAGGCAATTGCACATACTACTGCAACATAAGAATTTCTCCAGCTGGCCTTAAGGAAAAGAAATGGCCTCACAGTTACTATACAAGCTTCTACAAAAAAGATTCACCTCCTGGTTCCTCACACAATCTCTGCATGACTTTCTAAGAAATGCTTACCAACACACAACAAAATGATACTAAGCACTTACTCTAAAGTGAAAATGTCCACACAGCCTTGCACAGAAATAACTGAAGACTAGAGCTGACGTAAAAAATGAGCTACTCACCATGTACTTCAAAATCTAAACAAACTTAACACAGGCAAACCTGAACTCCTCATTTTCTCTGTATTTCCTCATCTCTTCCTACCTCACCAAAAGACACAAATTATCATTCTTATTCTGTAGTCCTTTTCTCACACTGCCTTGAAGCCCTTATGGGACAGGTACCCACCTGACTGGCGCTATATACTATGAAAGATTGCCATTACCCTTGTGTATTGTTCTTTTTGCAATTAGGTCCTCAGTATGATAATCATATTTAACAGTGTCATTTATTTTTCCATATAGATCCAAGCCAGGTCCAAAGTATACTATTTACTCATTATAATCTACCTCTCTTCCTGTTTTCCATCCCTTCCTTCTTACCTCGGCTATGAGTCTTCAGTGTTCATTTGTCCACTTGTCCCACAAACATTCTTGTCCTTTTCATAGAGCTCTATACCCACAGGAAATCCTCAGGCTAATTTGGAAGGCATTTGCCCAATCCTTCAAATCAAGACCTACCAATACCAGGACTGCCTATAAGAAATTGCTTACTACCTATAATTGGGGATAGATTTTTATTTTGGAAAAAATAAATCTAATTCACCTAAATACACACCAATATCTGAACAAATCAAAACTCCCTCTCTTCCTTCCAGTACATCGGTAAAGAACAGGTTTGAGATCAGAATCAAACCTGCAATTTTGACTACCTGTGGAAATTTCAAATTCCGCTCCCTTTCCATCCCCCCTACATGAGGGATTTATGGCAAGCAGACACATTCTACACTGATGCCATTCTGGCAAGCTCCACCTCTACCACAGCACTCTATATAATAAACTAAATATATTCCTATCTCAATTTTTGAGATATGTAACTGGGTAACGATCCTTTTTCTACAGATGTCTGTAAGATTCCCAATATTATCTTAA